ATAAAATAGCATGGACTTGCCACAAATAGGGAAAGGAAAATAAATACACTTTATAGTGGAATTTTTTGTCTTTCGTTCCATGGTTTAAGGGCTTATTTTCTTAGCATGACATATGGGTAAAATTCCAGTACAAAGAGAATCTTTTAATGAATATAACAGAATGAAAAAAGAATCAATTAGAAACAGTGAAAACCTGCTTTTACTGTTAGATTAAGAAGTTCAAAAGTGCATTAGCCATTGGAATATTCATTATAGATGTTGCCTGTGAGTCCATGTGCAATGCTGTCTCTCAGGCATGCGATATACGCCTTGATGCAGTTAAAGATGGTCTTACTGTGGACATTACTGGATGTGGTCAAACATTTACATCTGTGGATAAAAGGAAATATATGAATGATCAATGTCGTTTGAACACATATACAACAGTCCTTTATAACATAATTAACCTACAATTAATAAACAATGGAATTCTCCTGAAGTGTGAAAGCAGGCGTGCACTGGCCTTTGGGAAGTTGGAGAATCACTTCAGGGCCGTTCTTGCTCCCTTAGCACTGGCATTATGTAGCAGATCACAAGATATAGAGGTACCCCCCCCCCGACTGGCAACAAAATACACATAGGGGGCACCCGCAAATTCATGGTCTGCTTTTTGCTGCCAGTTCACCCTCAGTGTGACTCTGGACACAGCGGACAGTTACTTTTTTACTTCTCTTTTCTCATTCAGTTCAGAAGGTGTCTGCTGCTGCTGTGCTCGTCCTCCATGGACACGCTCATCTGCATTTCATCCATAAGGCTATTTAAACTCATTCTGATTAATACAACTAGCTCAGTCTTGGGCTTTGGTTATTTCTAATCCACTGGTTTTTGACATGAAGGACTCGAATGAAGCCTAAACTGAGCTGTTGGTTGGGTTGGATAACCCGATACAGAAATGTAGGCAAAAACTCCAATTCCAGTTGAGTAGGTGTGATAGCCTTGCTCCCAAGCTCAGAGGTCTTTCACTTAACCCTCAATGGGTCCTTGTCAGAAAGTTACGTTCCAGGTCCTTGGGGTTCAAGTTGCACCCCTATCCATTGGCATATATCATTCAATGGTACCAAGCTCAAATTCAATTAACTAAAGTTAAGATACATTTATTAGTTAACTGCATGATGCTTGCACAGCTTACGCAGTGAGATAGTGCAGTTAAAGGGGTTGCGGCAGTGGGGGGGGGCAGCAGAGGGGACTGGTCATATAATGCACATTCCGACTGTATCCTCTTGCAGAATGTGTCGAAGAGCTTTAGCTGTGGAATACCTAGCCATGTTGTTATATCTTTTCTAACAGTTGAAATATAAACAAAACAAAATGGCTGACTTTTTTTAATATCCGAAAATGTTCTAGAATATAATAACATAAAAAATTATAGTA